TGTGCTCCGTAGGTGACCACCGGTATTATACAGGAGTTATATACCTTGCTTCGTAAGTATAGAGGGATTGTTTAATTTTTTAGAACGTAAGAAAGTTTGCCGAACGCTGACCATCCCATTCTTACTCGTCTCGATATTTCGGCTGTTTGATTTTCTCTGTTAGCTCTGATTGCTTGTCCAAGATAGATATACTCATTTACCTGTTCTATTTTTTCTGTTTGTATTTTTATTGCCTCTTGGTCTTCCGTGTTTGTCATTACTTTTGTTTTGTTGAAGTTAATTTTTAGGCCTTTTTGCAGTGATTTTTCATGAAGTTCGTTCAGCATTAATTCCAGTTCTTGTCGTTCCGAGGAGATCAGGAGTATATCATCCACATATCTAAGGTGATTTAGGTATTTTCCGTTAATACATATTCCTCTGTTTTCCCAATCTGTTGATTTTATTATGTCTTCGAGGATCAAGGTAAACAGTTTAGGTGAAATTATATCGCCTTGTCGAACTCCTCATTTAACTTTTATATTATCCGTTATTAATTTGTCGTCTAGAATTACCGTCATGGTTGCGTTTTGGTAAATATCATGTATCAATTGTCGGTATCTTGAATCTATTCTACTATTGACCAGAGCTTCTTCAACCGCCCAGTGTTCAATGCTGTCGAAAGCCTTTTCATAATCTACGAATGCTAAGTACAGCGGAAGGTTGTATTCATTCATTGGCCTTCTCAATTAAGATTAATCGCAAAGATATTCAACAACATATACAACTCTGGAGAAATAGCAACAGAATTGCTGAAGTCTGAGTTTACTGCACTTCCAAAAAAACCAGGAGCCAAAAAATGCGAAGATTACCGTGCTATAAGCCTCATGAGTCATCTTCTAAAATTGTTCCTAAAGATAATTCATAAGAGAATCTACACTCTGTGAAATTCAAATTTCCCCCAATCAGTTCGGGTTCACAAATGCTGTTGGTACTAGAAAAGCTTTGTTCTCAGTACAAGTCTTATTCCAGAGATGCAGAGACGTCACCTGCGATGTATACGTATATCTCGTTGATTAAGAGAAAGCGTTTCATGGAGAATACTAAAACAAGCAGGAATTAACAATCAAGATCTGAAAATAATTAGAAATCTTTACTGTAATCAGACAGCAAATCTTAAAGTTGAAGATGAACACACTGACTATGTGAAAATCATGAATGGAGTGAGGCAAGGTTGTATTTAGTCTCCTCTAATCTTCAATCAGGACTCTGAAAAATATTTATCGAAGCTTTGCACGAAACTGAAAAAGGTATTCTACTAAATAGTTACCGACTAAACAACATCAGATATGCAGATGACACCATAGTGTTTGCGGACTTAGAAGACCTACAAGTTCTTATGAACAAAATCAAGTATTACAGTATGGACTTAATATAACCTTTAAGAAGACAAAGCTTATGATAATTAGCAAGAAAAGGATAACATAAAGTCAACTCTACGTCAACCAATCTAATGTAGAAAGAGGTACTACAACTACAACTACCTCGGCACCATAATAAATGAAGAAATGACCAACAACCAGGAGATTAGAGCACGCAATACCTTCAATCGGATGGGGGCTTTTGTCAAGAGTCACAAACTCTCTCTTGATAGAAAAGTAAGAATGCTGCGATGCTACGTCTTCTCTCTCCTTTTTAATGGTGTTGAATCATAGACCTTGAACGAGGATATTGTGCAAAAAACTAGAAGCATTTGTGATGTGGCTATACTGGAGAATACTTAAGATCCCGTGGACTGAGGAAGTCATAAATGAGGAGGTTCTCAGAAGAATGAATAAGAACCGACAGGTACTGACCACCAATAAATCTCGAAAGTTACAATTCTTCGGACATATTATGCGAAATGAATCTAGATCTGCTCTCCTTCAAGCCATCCTCAAGAGCCTCAGAATCAGGTTCAATACAACATCTGTGCAGCTTTTGCGCGCTGCTGCAGATAAGATAAAGATTGCCGTGATGATCGCAAAAATTCGTAACGGATAGGCACATCAAGAAGAAGAAGAAAGGATCTCAATATACTTTGATTGCTAATTTAACAAGTTTATTGGTAAAATTTTAACTGCTGACAATATTAAATTATTGGTGCGATATGATGTTCATGGTATGCGCATTATTCTACGTAGACCCACATTTCGAAAGGCATTTGTTTAGAATATGATTTTTAAATGGTTTACATTTTGGCAGCATTAATAGCAATGGAAAAGCATAAATATTGCTTAAGGCATAGTTGTGTGTTTTTTTTATCGTTTTCCAATAGTCTGCAAAGCCTATAACAGACTAAAATATTATTCTGTTGTCGTCCTAGCTTTAAATAGAAGAAAGCCAAATAAATTGAGAAGAGTGACTATAGATGGCAATTGATTTGATCGATCCCCCGTAGCATGGTGACGGCAAAATCACTAGTGTTTATACAGATCACGACATTATTTTATTGACTATACCCTACAATAGTGTACAAATTGCTAGGGAAGTTAACGTGAAAGTACGAACTGTCCAGCGAGTTCTCAAAAGGAATGGATATCACTGTTTTAAGATACAACCAACACAAGAACTGTTTCCGGAAGATAACTTTACGCGAATGGAGTTTTGTGAATTTATGTTAGATAAACAGAATGAAAATGTACACTTTTTAAAAAATATTTTATTTTCTGAAGTGCAGTGAAGCTGCAGTGCGAACGCAGCATCCGCAAAAGTTAAATGTTTGAACTGAGATGTTAACAGTGGCTTCCCACGGTCGGCGATTCTACAGATCTTCGCGGACAGCCGATAACCACGGACGGCAACGCACCGCAGACAGAGCTCTTCCCACGGTCCGTGACAGTCTGTGTAGGTCCGTGTCAGTAGTATTTGATTTAACGCAGTGATGCCACTCCTCACGATTTATCGTTAGATCTCACGAATTGAAGACAAATCTCACGATCTCACGATTGACGTCTTATGTCTTACGATTTCTAAAATTTTTAGGCTGTTACTAAATCTAAAGATAAATAATGGGTACCTAATAAAATTTATACGAGAAAATCAGCATTTTTAAAGTGCTCTTAGATTGTCACCTTGAAATATTCATAAATCAACTATATTTTTATACAAAAATGCTTGCACTACTCCAATTAGTATACACAAAATAATATAAACAAAGCTTAAAAGGTTCTTTATTGCTTTGAAAGTGTAAATATCGGTCCATAAACAACTGAAGTTTATGTATATTTTATCAATAAATATCAAGAATAGCCGGAATTTTGTATTAAAGGATCAACAGACCAAAATGATTTAAGTGTGTGTTCGAGATATGAAACAAATCAGCAATTGCATATAACAATAACTTTATATTCCATCTTCAATAACTTTGAAATCCTACAAGTACCGATAAAATGTTAAATCTTCAGAAAACAAAATGTTTATGTTTACCTAATATATACCTATTATACTTAATATTCTTGGGTAAAATAGGTTTATAATTTTCATTGAAGTTTAAACTATAAAGAATGTTTATAATCATTGCCTAATATTGAATCGATAAATCCATAGCTTGCAGTATATAGATATAGGTAGGTAGGTAATTTCCTAAAATTATATCTGATACTGGTGGTTCCCCTAAAGTAGACCCTTTTCTAGTACACTAATTTTTAAGTAGGTACTTATACATTAATTAATATATAACAATACAAAGTATTTAAAATAGTTTTGTATAATTATATATCATTTAAAAACTCCCATTTCTTTCAAAATTCAACTGTAGCGAAATCTCACGATTTCTTACGATTTATTTACAAATTTAAAAAATCCAAAATAACTTCGTTTGTCGATTCCATTTTTTTAGCAAAAGACTGCAAAACAACTTTGACAACACTACAGACAACTACTCGTAAGAGCGAATAAAAAACTTCTGACTTGCATTTGTCGTCTGTTAAAACACAGACGCGCTAGGATCGCGTCGCACGAGCATATACCGCACCTTTGATGTTACCGACTCTAGATGGATAGGACGGACCAGCACAGACGTGCCTGCGCTACCACGGACGAGACCCTTCCCACGGTGCGTGGTGCGTGCTGGTCCGCTTAGGTCCGTAATATCGCCGACCGTGGGAAGCCTGTATTAGGCGAGCATATTGTCGGTCCATTTTTTATCGGTGGAACCCTAAACAGGCCCAAATATTTACAATTTTTACAGAATTAGATCATTCCGGCAGTTCGACGCCTTTCCGTTAATTTTCAGGAGGTTTATTTCCAACAGGATGGGTGTTCAGCTCACAACTCTAGAGTAACTATTGACTTCCTCGATTGATAAGTACACGTGGTACAATTAAATGGCCCGCTAGATCCTGTGACTTAGCGCCTAACGATTCCTTTTTTTGGGTTTTCTTAAAGAAAACATTTATAGAGATCAGTTTGAAAGGGCCACAAATATAGTCGAATTAAGGGCAAAAATACATGATTTCTCTGCAAGCATTACACCAGCCCTACTCCAAAATATGAGGAGAAATCTGTATGACACATTTGGTTACTGTTTAGCACAAGGAGGTGGAATATTTAAGCCCTTAATTCATTAATCTGCTTTCCTAATTTTTATTTTTTTTAGGTACATTTTACGAAGTTTGTAGGTTCTTAATTACGTAGAATTTTTTATGTTTAAGTTTGAAATAATTTTATTCTTTTGTTTTTATTTAAAAGTACAAACGATTCTTAGTCTGATTTTTTTTCTTCTTTCTTGTCTTATTGTTATAAGCTTTGTCCATAAAATGTGTACAATTTTCAGATAATAAAGCATATTACTTACATATTTGTATTGCTATTAATGCTAAAAAATGACCAAAAAATTAGTTTTAGAGCATTATAATAAATATACTCTAGAGATGGGATTGCAATAAATCTTAATTCTTATGGTCAACAAAACAATGTCGTTTATTATACTCTCTTTAAAAATATGTATCACTTTAAGCAATAAATATTTATTATGTTTTTAGATCCAACCAAGCGGCCCCAACAACTTCTGCAAAGTTTCTTCGTGTAAGATCAACCTCAAGCTGAACTGTCCTCCAACACACCAAATCAAGGGAGAAGACACTGATGACACGGTAGCTTGTCACGCGCTTCCGGATGTTTTCCAGAGTTTATGTCCCCATGCAGCTACATCTGATACTGACAAAGACATGTTCTCGTGCAAGACTTCAAATACATATTTCGTCTCAATTGGATAAAATAGAGCAAAGAACGTGGGGGTTGATTTTACGATGTAAAAATGGTCATTTTTGTGTATTTGAACGTTGTATAAAGTGAGTAAAGTGGTTGAATGTAGAACTTTTAATATTACAAGCTAGAAAAACTTGGTAACATGTCAAATAAATAGTTCTGTAATTTAGTAATGAAGATAATCGTTGACTTTTAACTTGGCTTTGAGTAGTCAAAAAATTTGACTACTCAAAATAGTCTTTTTTTTAGTGTAACTATTTAGCAGTCCCTGACCTCAGTGGCCATCCCTGTTACTACTTTAGCGATGATAATTTATGGTTAATGAACTTCTTGAAACTTTTAGACATGTTAATTACATAAAATTTCACAAAACACTATATAATAATAATTATTCGACTTATTTGTGACATTTCGTAAATTTAACAAAACGGCTAAAAATTTGTAGCTGTACTTTAAACTGTCAACAAAATTCTTTAGTTGACCCAAATGCTTTGGACGTGTAAAGAATGACAAAAAGTTTTCGGAGAAACGGAACTGATATACTTTCAAGACTTTTTGTTGTTAAACTCGAAAAGAAAAATCTTTGCTGGACTTTAAAAATCAAGTAAAGATTTTTCTTAAACATTTTTTCTCGGGTTAACTTTGTAAGTCTCCTTGGAGCTTTTGAATTGACTTAACTAAAACTAATCTAAGAAAAGCTGATTAGAAAAGGCCAACATAAAAAACCCTAACAACCTATAAGATAGAAAGTTTTGTTAAAAAGAACACATTTTTTAAAATATATCAAATTTTTTGCAAAATTTGCGAAAATTTGTTTACAGAAATTTAAAGTGAGTATAATCCGACAAGCGAGAGCTGGCGGGTGAGCTGCGCGAAAATAGAAAAGGAATTATTCTAAGAGAGATAGGAGAGTTACTTAATCGCGATTATAGGTATCTAGGATAGGTACTTAAACGGTTATACACGATGTGAACTCCTAGCCGACTACAATAGAAATGAGCAATTCCTTCCACTTTTTAATTTGTTCTACGAGCAACCCGCCAGCTCTCGCTTGTCGGGTTATAACTCCATCAATATTTTGTTAATCAATCATCTGTAGGGATTCATTGTCTTAAGGATAACGACTAAATATCATAAATTTTGTTTTAGAAGCAATTATTTTTATTTATTCCTTCGCTCCAACTTTTTCTCGGTCTACCTCGTTTTCTCTTTCCTTTCGGTTGCCATTTTAATATTTCTTTTGGTATTCGTCTTTGTATGTGACCGAACCAGTTTTGTTGTTAGCTAATCTGTGATTAGTTTGATTCCCATTATTTCTCTAATGCGTTCGTTGGTAATCCTTTCTCTTCTAGATCTTCCTGCAAAATCTTCTCCAAAAATCCATTTCCGTCTTCAGGTTCTGTTCTTAGAAATACTTTTCCCAGTCTTCAGGTTTTATGCTGTGTATTACTTCTTTATTCTTCTCTTTTCTCAATTTTTTTATCAGTTTCCAGCTTTCTGTGCTTTTCTGCAGATTCTTTCTCACGACTCGTTCTTCTTCTTAGAGATTTTCCTTCGGACTTCTGCTTGTTTTTCTTGTAATGATTTGGTGCTTAAATATTGTTTTTATAGTTGACTTTTACATTTTATTTCTTCCTCTCTTTCGTTATCTCACTAGTATGGTTTGTTTACCTTGGGTTTTGAGGCCGTATCACTTGGGTTATTGCCTTCTTCATCCTTACAGCTCCCTATTCCAGGCATAAAGGCTTTTCTCATTTTGTTTCATTTCTGTAGAACTTTCGAATTTCGTTTTGATTTCTTAGCCATTCTATGTTTTCTAACTGCTTTTCTTCCCTTCTAATTGCCTTTTTTTCTTATATGTAATCTTTTTTATTCCCTTCGTGGGAAAAGGTACTGTAACATTGTATAAAAATTGTTTTATACAACAACATAAAACATAAACCTATTTTTATTAGATGCAAACAAAAATGTTAACCAACATAACTATTTTTAACTCATTTATAACATACTTGCTATTATGATAACACTAACACCCAGTGATCTATTTATAGGAAGGGTCAAAATTGAAAAATGCAAAGATATAAAACAGTTTCATGAATATTTTCAGATTTAGAACAATATTACTGATAAAATTATGTGTATAAGTAAAATTTTAAAATTTGAAAAAAATAAATAATGGGTTAATGGGTTAATTATCTATTTTTTCGATTTGCATACCGAATGAGGATAAATATTCAGTTTATTACTGTATCTCATTTTCCAAACATTTGTAAAGTATTTGTGGATCATTTTTTTAGAAAAGCAATATTCTATTTTAGCAGTTATATACAGAAACAGTCAGTTCTGCAGTTCTAGTACATATTAATCATAAAAATCGCTTATAAATAATACAGAAACAGTCAGTTCTGCAGTTCTAGTACATATTAATGAAAAAAATTGCTTATAAATAGGTACGTCGAAGGAATGGCCACTTATAATAATGTATACTCTCTGTCAATACCAAATAAATTTTAGATATTTTCTTGATACTTCCGTCATTTAACAATTATTAAAAATTTCGCATTTTAGCGTCACAAAAGTACTATGTACTAATAAAAACACTCTTGCTGATTTACAGAACGACTATGAATGCCTAGCATTAAGATATTTATAAATAAATTATTATATTTCAAATAGTAGGTACATCTTTGTAAAATAATACCAGTATTGCAAAGAGAACAGGTTGTTTCAAAATACTTGTCAGGATGGATTAGTTTTCGTAATTTTTCAATTAAATCTAAAATTATAATAATTGATGCCTTAACCTTGATGTGTGTTTCTAGATTATCTGCCGGTAATTATTTTGCGATGACCTGGCCATTTGTATATGTCGACATAAGTATATGATATATATTGTAATATTTATTCCTAATTACGGCTTATTTTTATAATTTTTTAAATAGATTTTAAGAGTACAGTATTGTTAAAATATTATGACATATCTATAAATAAAATATGAATGTTCGAACTGTTTTAATATTATCAATGGATAAAATAACACAAAATGTCAGCGTCTACTGCCAATCACAACGTAATATAAACAAACAACAACTCACACAGTTCTTCAGATAGATTATAGGCAGGCGAATACTACAACGCTAAATGTACACACTGGGAATTTAGACTTGACTAAGGCAACAATCTTAAAAGCATATCTACGGGTGAACCTACCTACTGGCCTACCAACAGAAATAAAATACCCGATATAGTTGATTTTGGTGTCACAATGGGTTTACCAAATAACCACTTAAGGGGTTTCTTCTTGTTATGAGCTGTCTTCTGACCATTCTCCTGTTTTAATAGAAGTAAGTTCAGAAACCTTTATAGAACACCATCTGCTACATTATTTAACAAATCCACAAACTGGAAACAATTAAGAGAATTCCTAACTAATAAATTAGAATTAAATATTCTAACCACTACAAACAAATCAGGAAATTGACAATACCACAGAATATCATAACCAATCCATATAAAAAGCTGTATGGGAATCAATGACAATCAAGGAAATAAACCGCTTTATTCATGAATACTAAATAACCACAAAAACAATAGTATACTCTCTGTTCTCATACACCTTTGGACTACAGAAGCTACCGAGTATTTACTCTGGAAAGCAACCAGGCAAATAGAACATCCCTAATTTTCCAGGGAAAGCCGAAATTCCATCCCGCCCCCCCAAATTTTCGCTAAATATTTTAAAACGGTTTACCAGGCTTTTTCAGCAGATAAACGTATTAATACAGACAATAAAATCCAAATTTATCTAGAATCTCCGTATCAACTTAAAACTCTTCTAAAAAAATTACTTTGGTACTTTTAGCAATTAAATACTAAAAATTAAACGAAGTTAATAATATGATGCATACTGAATTAAACCCCAAAAAGTCACCAGGATATAAACTAATTACCGTAAGAATCTTAAAGGAATTACCAAGAAAATCCCTACTTTTTCGGACATACTTTTTCAGACAGTTTCCTCTAGTTTGGATATTAGTCCAAATAATATTAATTCCAAAACAAAGAAAATTCTGTTATCCAGAATAGAGTCAATTTTATTTAACAAAGAAATAATACCTCATTATTATTTTGGCTGTAGGGCACAGTTGAACTGCTTTACCACTGAACAAATTCACCAGGTTTACCAACAAACATGAAAATTACTGGAAACAGAAAATATTGCTACGGAATCTTCTTACGACATCTCCCAGGCTTTTGACTAAGTCTGGCAAAATGGCCTTTTACACAAAATCAAAAAATCCCTTCCGGCTTGCGCCAATTCCCACGCCAACCCCCACTCCAACCTTCACCCAAACCACGTCACCATCGACAATATAAATGAACCGGCCTCTGTTGAAAGTACCAGCAATGCATTGGTTGGTGATCAGTGTAGAAGTGTCTAGGGACTCGGTAGACTGAGACCTGAGAAGCTCTGGAAGACATCAAAGAGGATGTCAAAAGCTTGGCGCAATGATAATCGACGCGGTTTAACCGCGAATATATTAGTTGGACTTTCCGAGTTTGAATTTGTATCAGCCCAAGTGTCTGATGAGACTGGGATAGGCCGAAATGATCATAACACTTTATTGATACCGATTCGAACACGGGAAGTTGAACGAATTTGTCCTCCTAAGCCATATATTTGGCCATTTAATTCAATGCTAAAAGCTAAACGTTGCTAAACGCCCCCTTGTCGATGCTTTAAAAAGGACCTCTTCAAACTCATCGGCATTATAATCTGTTTTATAGAAAAAAGATCCAGGATTTCTTTTGACAACTTTAATAACTTGGATATCATTCCAGACTTTTCATCTTTTGTATTCTTTGTAAAATTTCCTCCAATTTTTGAATTGAGATCTTTAAAGTCATAAAAGTCTTCTGTGGACATTTCTTTTACATTGTAAGGATTTCTCTCTTTTTTTGCAGATCTTATGATGACAGGCCATTGTGCAGGAACATAAATGGGACC